TTTGTAGGATTCTAAGTTGTCCTTGCCAACTCCACAGTGGCTCTTCACAGTCAGGAACTCATCTCCTCAATGGCCCTCAAGTCATTTCCTCCCACAGAAGTCTAGTGCATTTCTGGCGGAAAGCTCCCCATCACATAGGTCACAGTTGAGGCTCCAAGAGAGAAGGTGACTGGCTAGTCTTATTCAGAACTCCATGGCTTTTCTGGGATCAGACCTAAGGTGTGAAGTGCTCATCCCCTACTCATGCCCTGTCTATGCTGACAATACTTGCCAGTACTTTCCTCCCATTCAGACATGCATGCCTTACACATTGCATCACACCTTCTTCAGTTCCATTCCTGAAGGAGACACCAAGCAGGCCTTGAGTCATACACATCAAGAGAATTACACACTGAACCTTGAGTATCCATCACTCTGCATATGCTTACAACTCCATTCTTATATCCTTAGGGGGACACTTTTGTACCAGCTTAGGGAACTAGGAAGACTATTTAGTCAAATAATTTTCTGTGGGGTTTAACTCTCTTGCAAAATCCCAATTGAGAAAAGCTGCTGATGTTTAGTGCCTTTGAATGATTAATTCTTTCCAGGTCAAAGAGTCCTTTATATGGCCAACCGAATTATCCATCCCTTTTTATCTCCTCCCCCTCCCTTGTTTTCATTTAATGCCATCTCCTTTTGTCCAATGCCCCTGGGATGTAGAGAATTTATTAGCGTGTCTCTCATAAAACCCAAGCATAGCAGGAAATTAAATTCATCTGGCATAAGCACCTGTTTGGAGAGCTTTGCTGGTTGCTCTGCTCTACTTCATGGTTGCCAAGGTGATTATAAAGTGACTGATGACTTGTTCTAGGATGATCCAGGTATCGATGCTAACATCATCAACTAAGGGAAGCACTGTAGGGAGAAATTGGCCATAGTGGTCCAAGATATCCGAGACCCAGGGATACTAAACCTCAAGAGGAGAGAGATGCTGTCAAGAGCTCAAGGACAGCCTTAGAAAAGAGAGGGGTCATTGTCTTGAGTGGCCTCTAGGGGGCAGACTTAAGAGTCATGGGTATAAATGGAAAGAAGACAGGTTTTAGTTCAACATCTGGACAGTGGGGAAAATACAACAAGCTGGTGGGTTTTTTCCTTACTAGAAATGGTTCTCCCAGACTTTAGGGAAAACACTGTGTAAGAAGTTAAGATGCTTCACCCCAAGCCATTACCACCCCATCGAGCTAGACAGCTCAAATATAAGCAATAATAATTTTCAGATTCATTCTTCTCCCTGGAAATTTTGTTCCTTTTCTCAAGGAAATGGAGTTTTGTTTACTCTCATCATAACTCAAATCAAAACTAAATTGCATGTTACTCATGCCCAAAGGGTCCTCTCACACATATGATATAATGAGATAAATATGCATTCTATATCTACCTTTTAATGCAAAAAAGATAGGACAATAGAAATAACCATTTCTTTTTGAAGTATGCACATGTATTTAATTTCATTTAATACGAGTTTAGTGAGATAACCCTGTCTAGATATTATTAAAAGATGGGCATGTTAAACAAAAGAATTCCACAGATGTTTCCCTATCTAAGAATTGAAAAGATGGAAGAATTTTTGTCAGAGCTAAGACCCAGGAGGAGGTTCCTTGGCTGTCCAGTGGTTGGTGTGAGGGCATTCTCTGGCAACACAGAGCCCTGCTCCTGTTCAAACACTCACTAGATAAATCAAACTATGCCTTCTATTCCTGTTTGGCAGGCAGGAAATGACAAATCAGTGTCTTAAGGGATTGACAAAACATGTAATTAGACACTATCAATCACCATAAAAGAGCTTGACTTTTCTTACATCAGATAAAGGTGGCTTAGTCTACTGTTGTATGACTTAGCTCTGTAAGGTCTCAAGCTCCATGAAAGCAGCCATAGCAGTCTCATTCACTGCAGAATGAAATCATAGTTGCTGGGTCCGGAAACCAAGCACAGCCAGGAGGACAGAGCTGGACTCTTAACTTCCCTAACACCTTGAACAGGACACTCCCCGACTTCTTCACTTCAGGCCCCTCTTTTTTTTTCAAACTTGAGGAAATAGACTAAACCATCTCCTAAGCTCATCCCTATTTTAATTGTGTCTAGACTTAGAATTCTAAAAGGAGGGCCAAGAAAAGAACATTCTGAAATTTCTACCACAGGAGGAAAGAGTATGTCTGTTTATCAAAACTGCTGAGAAACGTCACAGGACCTCCTTTTTGCTGAATGTTATTTCTTCTTGATTTAGTATGTGTGAGGTTTTAAAAGATGTTTCCCAAATTATTTAGTTAAAGTCTGGGGCAACTGAAGTGTATACCAAATAAAAGATTGGTCTGTGCTTTTCCTAAAAAGGATTTGCCTTATTCTTTTTTGTTGTTCGGTGTAGATTAAATTGCATACTTATTTACTCCATACCCTCACTCAAACAGGAAGTATGTTTTAAATGTTCTAGTTCCACAATTCAGGGTAGATGTGTATTTAAAGAAAGGTTGTTGCATAACACAAAGCCTCTTCCTAAAATGCATCAGACCAGAGCCAATTTTGGAAAACACAAATATGAGGTGGGTGTATTTTTAAAACTATGTGAACATAATAGATCTTTAATTGATATTTGTGGGTTTTATGGGAAATATTTTGAGACACTTGTCAAAAAAAACCAGTGTGTGCTACTGAAGAAAGTAAAAAGGTCCATGGAGGTTTCATTTCTAAGCTCAATTTCTGAAGTAAACACTGCACCTACCTTTTTCATAAAGTATTTTATAGTTCTGCTGGAGGAAACTAGTAATATGTTCTAAAGGATTAAGTAAATGATATAAAGTTCACTAGCAAACTTACATTGGTCTGACATTTATCTAAGTAACAGCACTTTCATAGTTTCTATCGCATTTGATTCTCATTCATTCCAATGAAAATGACTATCACACTTTATCATTTCACACACACACACACACACACGCACCCCCTTAGAGATCGAGGGAACTTGGTCTTCTCATTGTGGTTTGACTAAGGAAAACAAAAGTAAAACTTCCAAGGAGCACCAGGACCACAGGGCTCCAATCCCAGCTGTAGGTTTCTTCTAGACACCCACCTCTCCTTTTTCTTCATGGAATAACACAGTACATTAGAAAGTTTGAAAAAAATGGATCCTAGAGTCAGACAGGTTTAGGTTAAGACTCAGCTTCTGGTACAGCCTCACCAGTGATCATGGGCAAGCTATTTGCCCCATTGAGCCCCATTGGATAACTGAGCTAAAAATATCCCCCATGGGACTGTGGGAGGAATTAAATGCAATAATGCACAAAGGGGACATAGCAGAATGTTCCCTAAATGTCAGCTATTGTTATGTTATTATGTAATCTACAAAGTATGTTTTGTTATGCAGTGTGAAAGACTTGCAGTTTGTTAATGATAACACACATGAAATCAAACCCAGAAAATTATTTTTTTCCCAACAGTCAAATCATTTGTCAGATGCACAGGATAGTATTTCATGAATCTTAGTCTTTGTCTGACTTTTCTTAAAGGGGAGAACAATTATCATTTACTTTCTGCAGTTTTAAAATGGTCTCCATAGAGCATATTTTTAATAGATGTTATATGAAATTATGGGTTTTTAAAAGACAGAAATAGTCCAACAGTAGCAGGTTCACATGGCACAGCTTAAAAGATTAACAAATTACCCAGCCAACACATGAAATGATATTTTTATAGTTGCAATGGAGCTATTGAAGAAATTGTTTGAAATGAAAATTATCTGAACTGGAGAGATGGCTCAGCGGTTAAAAACATTAAATGCTCTTCCAGAGGAACAGGGTTCAGTCCTCAACACCCACATGTCAGTTTGTGAGCTGGTACATGTCTGTATCTCCAGTCCTAGGAGTCTGATGCTCTCGTCTGACCTCCAAAATAAGAACAAATGCGATGAACAGACATACCTAGAGATAAAACGTGTAAAATAAATGAATTTCACTTTTAAAAATGTAAAAAGAAAATACTAAATTTTCATTTTCAACGTATTCTCAGATATCCACCATATAACAAGAAAATGCTGCAACACTCCCAAGAATTAAAAATAAAACCACCTAACTCTCCCCAAAATGTGTAAATACTTCGATTCCTAATGAAATACAAAGAGTCAAATTACTACCTCAGTGCCTGCAAGTTCTTAAGGGGAGAGGATGCCAAAATGTATTTCTCAAAAAGTGTGCTGAGAAACTGTAGCTGTTGAAGACCCGTCCTGTGCTCTCGCCAGCTAACTGAAAGGGAATATCCTGAGAGTCTGGAAATGGGAAAAGAGGGTGTCATTTATGAGTGCTTCAGGAGGGTGGTACCTGGATGTGGACGTGGGTGTCTAAACGGTCTGCACTCCACATCTCCACTTGAGCGCTGTGTGCATTTCTTTCTGCGTGCTTCTAGGCGTCCCTTTGTTTGTTTATAGCCACCTTTCTGCTTTGGACCAGGAGACAGCTGTCGTCTCCAGCGTGAGCGGGCGCGGGTGTGTCTTGGTGTCTGTGGCTGTGGTTCGGCATAAGTCTGAGCATGTCCATGTCAGTCTGGTGCATTTGTTCCTGTGTGTCGTGTCCAAGTGTGCTTGTTCAGTCTCTCTGCTCTTTTCCTGAATGAAAATGTGTTGTGTGCCACCCTGCATCCAGAGACCTCAGCCCGCAGAGGTGACCTGTACCAACAGGTAGAACTTCCAGACTGCGCTTGGTTGGTGGATCGCACAGCAGCCCAGATTTCTGTCTCTGAGGCCCCGCTAGGGTAGCTGGGAGGGAGTGGTGGCTTGGCCTCCGGGGAGCAGTGGGGCCCCGCCCGGACCAACCCCAGGAGGAGGCGGGCTAGGCAGGGAGGGTTGGCTCTTGGTGCCTCGCCCCTCTGGGCATGCGACCGAGCCATTGGCTCAAAGTTGCTGCACGTCACCGAGCAATTCCCCTAAAGTCCGGTGCACATAACGGGCAGGGCGCACAGCAAGGCTGCTTCTCCAGCGTTCAAGCTGCTGTTAGCAGGCACCGCGAGCCCCGGGCACCCCACGAGCTGAGTGTGCAGGACGCGCCCCCAGCACAGCCACCTACAGCCGCTGAATGAAGCTTCCAGGAGTCTGCCTCCGGCCGGCTGCGCCCCGTCGGAGGTGCACCCGCTGAGAGCGCCAGGGCACCAGAAAGCCGGTGCGCTCACCTGCTCGTCTGCCAGCGATGGGGCCACCCGGGAACGACAGTGACTTCTTGCTGACAACCAACGGAAGCCATGTGCCAGACCACGATGTCACTGAGGAACGGGACGAAGCATGGGTGGTAGGCATGGCCATCCTTATGTCGGTTATCGTCCTGGCCATCGTGTTTGGCAACGTGCTGGTCATCACAGCCATTGCCAAGTTCGAGAGGCTACAGACTGTCACCAACTACTTCATAACCTCCTTGGCGTGTGCTGATCTAGTCATGGGCCTAGCGGTGGTGCCGTTTGGGGCCAGTCACATCCTTATGAAAATGTGGAATTTTGGCAACTTCTGGTGCGAGTTCTGGACTTCCATTGATGTGTTATGCGTCACAGCCAGCATTGAGACCCTGTGCGTGATAGCAGTGGATCGCTACATTGCTATCACATCGCCATTCAAGTACCAGAGCCTGCTGACCAAGAATAAGGCCCGAATGGTCATCCTAATGGTGTGGATTGTATCCGGCCTTACCTCCTTCTTGCCCATTCAGATGCACTGGTACCGTGCCACCCACCAGAAAGCCATCGACTGCTATCACAAGGAGACTTGCTGCGACTTCTTCACGAACCAGGCCTACGCCATTGCTTCCTCCATTGTATCTTTCTACGTGCCTCTAGTGGTCATGGTCTTTGTCTATTCCAGGGTCTTCCAGGTGGCCAAAAGGCAGCTCCAGAAGATAGACAAATCTGAGGGAAGATTCCACTCCCCAAACCTCGGCCAGGTGGAGCAGGATGGGCGGAGTGGGCACGGACTCCGAAGGTCCTCCAAGTTCTGCTTGAAGGAGCACAAAGCCCTCAAGACTTTAGGCATCATCATGGGCACATTCACCCTCTGCTGGCTGCCCTTCTTCATTGTCAACATCGTGCACGTGATCCAGGACAACCTCATCCCTAAGGAAGTTTACATCCTCCTTAACTGGTTGGGCTATGTCAATTCTGCTTTCAATCCCCTCATCTACTGTCGGAGTCCAGATTTCAGGATTGCCTTCCAGGAGCTTCTATGCCTCCGCAGGTCTTCTTCAAAAGCCTATGGGAACGGCTACTCCAGCAACAGTAATGGCAAAACAGACTACATGGGGGAGGCGAGTGGATGTCAGCTGGGGCAGGAAAAAGAAAGTGAACGGCTGTGTGAGGACCCCCCAGGCACGGAAAGCTTTGTGAACTGTCAAGGTACTGTGCCTAGCCTTAGCCTTGATTCCCAAGGGAGGAACTGTAGTACAAATGACTCACCGCTGTAATGCAGGCTTTCTGCTTTTTAAGACCCCTCCCTGACAGGACACTAACCAGACTATTTAACTTGAGTGTAATAACTTTAGAATAAAACTGTATAGAGATTTGCAGAAGGGGAGCATCCTTCTGCCCTTTTTTATTTTATTTTTTTAAGCCGCAAAAATAGAGAGGGAGAGAAACTGTACTTGAGTGCTTGTTTGTTTCTTGTGCAATTCAGTTCCTCTTTGCGTGGAACTTAAAAGTTTCTGTCTGAAGTATGTTGGTTCTAGAGGACTGTCTGTATGTTTAGATGATTTTCCCATGCATCTACCTCACTCGTCAAGTGTTAGGGGATACGCTGCTAGTAATTTGTACCTGAAGGAAATTTTCCTTCCTGTACCCTTACACTTGTCAATCCTGTGTCTTGGACCTTTCTGCTGTGAATATATACTCTCTCCCGCTCCACTTATTTGCTCAAATGGAGTGTGTAGACAGGGATCTGAGGGACAGCTTCAGTTGGTTTTTTTTTTTTTTTGAGCAAAGTCTAAAGTTTACAGTAAATAAATTGTTTGACCATGATTTCATTGCACCTGTTTCTCCAAAACCTCTTGACTCTGGAGTGCCCTTGTCCTTCCCACTGGAAACCACAGGTAACTGTGTGTCACAACTGCTGAGTGGTTTAATGTGGAAGATACCAGAATGGCGTGCCCTGATTGCCTAGCCCTTCCATGTGCCTTTGGATCTCCTGTGTCTTTCCTAATTTACTTGTGCCCCAAATCAGTTCCGCCTACTCTCGGCATAACCCAGTGTGTCCTACAGTTGCTATTCTCTGCTGTCACCTCGGAAACCCTGACTCAGAGAGAGAGAGAGAGAGAGAGAGAGAGAGAGAGAGAGAGAGAGAGAGAGAGAGAGTTATGGGCATATGTTTTCTCCCACGAGCTCCTGCCACCCACCTTCCAGCCCTACTTGTTTAATAACTGTGTGGATTTATATCATTGGCGTCTTTTACAGTAGTGCCCTTTGTACTGCAGCAGGGCTTGGTGTATTCAGAATGAGGAAGATGTTCTGTGTAAAGCTATTCAAGAATCTCAGAATTCCAAAGGAAATCGGAGACCTCGGTCATAGAGAGCAAAGCTTTCAAAGATTGCTGGTGAATAGTTCATACCCTGAACAAGGGTTCAGCCTCTCCTCCCTCCTTCCTGATGTCCTGGTCCCCTCTCCCCTGGTTCTCTGCACTTCTGTGTAAATCAGGCTTTCTCATGCCTGACATTTCCATGTATTATAGGATACTTAGCAGCAGACCTGTACCCAGTTAATTCCAGTAGCACCCCTCAAGTTTATAAATCATAGCCCAAAATAACCTCAACTATGACCTATTACCCCCTCAGGATAAAGTAGTCCTTAGCAGAAAGCCTGTTGTAGACTTTGAAAACATAAATCAGCTGGGTTTTGCTATTTACTACAAATGCTGTATTGTTGACACCTAGGAGAGGGTTTTTGCTTTTTGGTTTTGTTTGTTTGTTTGTTTGTTTTGTCCCCAGTTCACTCGGTTTTGGCCGTCCCTCAACCCCTCTTCCTTCTTCTTCATGAACCTGCCGTCTAAACTTGTGTTCCAGCTGCCCAGGTAGTTGCCACAAGAAGTTAAGGCTTGAGGTTCATGCACGAGTTATTTGGGAGGGTTTATCAGTAGAGGTGAGGCCCGCAGGCCCTCACTGCCTGTTTGCAGAGAGATTATAATACTGTTAAGAGGCACAGAGGGAAATCACAAAAGTAAACACGTTTCTTCTCGCAGCCCCATTCTATTTTTGCCTGTGTGTTGGAGCCAGAGCGTGGCCCAGGTTTCATGGAGTGAATCGTCCTCCCTTGCAACACCAGGCTGGAAAGATCAGCCTGCAAGGGTGGATGCCGTTCCTTCTGCTCTTAAAGCTGACACTACTTCTCCTCTCTCCCCTACTGTCCAAGGTCCCCAACACTGGCCTCCTTAGCTTCTCAAAAGCTCAGTGACGGGACCTCTGATGCGCATTGATCTCTCAAAGGGAGGCTAAACCCATGCTGTGCAAAGTGCAATGTATGTTATTCTGTGCAAACACATTTTGGTCAAGGTTTTCATACCACAGTCTCCTCCTCCTCCGGGCCTCATGTTTGAAGGTACAGCAAGCTCTCCAGATATTCTTTACGTACCCCCATAGCCTTACAAGGTCTTCAATTTGGAAGGGCTGGTAATCTGACAAGCCTGAAAGCCTAATAGAGGAAACTGCCAAAGGTAAGTGACCAAAGATGCTTAGAGCAGGGGAAAGCCAGGAGCCCAACTGCCTGCCACCAACTACTATGTGCCCTTGATAGCATCACCACTGAGCTCTGCCCTCATCTGAGTTATGGAGCCTTTCCTTGAGGATATACCATACTGTTGTCGTTGTCGTCTTTTATACAAAAACCATCGACTAAATAAATAGTCTGCAAAAGGAACAAGAACTTGGCTTTATTAAGAAGAATCTACTAGGTTATTCCCAGCATTAGGGAAGTTGGATGATCCCCTGACTCTTTATAACCAGCAAGTAATTTCAAAAAACTTCAGTTAGAATCCCTCACAGTTTTAACACACACACACACACACACACACACACACGCACACGTGTGTGTGTGTGTATTAAATATAGTATATATTAAAAACATGCCTCTCATTTGATAATTAAATAGACAGGAAAAACTATTAATAAATAAGCTAATATTATGCATACAATACCCTTGGCTAAAGGCATTTCTAACACTTTGTTAGAATTTCAGCTATGAAAGTTAACATCAATTCTCAGCTAAAGGAGACTTTTGCAATATTTGAGTCCCTTTAGGTATGCTTTAAGCTTGAGAATTTGGATCAGGTTTAAGGGGCTTGGAAAACAAGAACACCATGGGCCTGTCACAATCCCTTGTCTTTCACCTTTTATGTAGTTTTGTTTTCCCTTGTCCCTCCGTGTCTCCTGTTTGTTGACATGCCAGTTACATAAGGTCTGTGTTGGATTCATCACGATAAAGTTTTCTTTGCCTGGACAGCAAGTTCTCAGGGTCTGTCAAATGAGAACCTTATCCTGAGACTCAAGCTGACAGGTGTGAGTGGCGGCGGACAGGGTGGGCCTGCCTGCAAGATAATTACTGAGGCAAGGAATCTAGGAGGGGAAAGGATCCTGGCAGTAGGAGCTGTCCTTACATGCTGCTGAGATTGTTTGTAGATTTGCTGCCAAGTTCGTCCATACCAGAAGGAGTCCTGGAGTATTTGTAGCACACCTGCTGTGTACAGCGTCAGAGAAGTATAGGCTGTGGTCTCCTCTTTCTGGAGCATGATACATAATGCTAAACAGTCATGTGCCATGAAATCGAACTGAAAGCTACGGTTATGTTAGGCCACTGTTGAGTACTGGGTTCCCTTTGCAGGTAGAATAGTTGTCATCCAGCAAATAAAGCAACTGATGTTCAAAAAGCCACACGGCCACCTAGTTGCCAAGTAAATATCAGAACCTAGGTCTGTGTGATTCGAGAACACAAGGAGCCTAGCACCCAGGCAAAGCAGGAAGTGGCAGGGGGCAGGGAGAAGCTCATGATGTGTGCCAAAACAAGTGTCAGGACTGGAAACGCAATACCTTGTTGAGAGAAGAGGGAGGTTGTCATGGGTGGGGCAAGGAGGAATGTCCCTTCAAAACATGCGACTGCTGCATGGCTGGGGTCTGGGTCAGGAAGTCAATCACTGAAGGGCCTAGTTGACTTCTCTGGGTCTTGCCTTTGGCTTTTCTTAGAGGATGAGGTCAACTAGAATAAAGGATATGAAACTTGAAAGTGAACACAATAGAGTAAAACCGAAGCACAGGCTGCCACAGGTCCCGGCAAAGTCACCCTCGGTTCCAAAGTCAGGAAGGTCTTGTAAGTTGAATGCATCGCTGAGCCTTGTGGACACCAGTCTGAGCTGTCCTAGAGGTGTGCTGTCTGTTTTGAGCTACTGTTGTAAGGCAAAGGGCAATTATTTTCTGACTGTGAAGAGCAAGGAGGACTTTGAGTGACACTTTTCATTAACAGTAGAACCTCCCTTCTTCCTGTCAGCCGCACAGGCTGAGTTCTGTGCTATGCCTTACTTTATTGACAGACAGTACAAATAGAATTTAATGGAGAAATGCTTAAAATACTTTGGAGAACAAATTTTCCAAGCACTCTCAGGAGCTTGAAATGCTGGTGTCTTTCAAGGCAGTGGTGGCTCACACCTGTAATCCCAGCACTCAGGAGACAGAGGCAGGCAGATCGCTGTGAGTTCAAGGGCAGCCTGCTTTTCAGAGTGAGTTCCAGGACAGCCAGGGCTGCACAGGGAAACCTTGTCCTTGGAAAAACAAAAACAAAAATAAAACAAAAGAAATGCTGGTGTCTTGTGAACAATAGGAGGTGGGTGAAATGAGAAGATTTTTTTTACTTCAATTCTTACTACTGGGGTGGGGATAAATAGGTCTCGGCTCAACCTCTCTCTTTCTCTCTCTGTCTTTTTATAGTCCAGTAAGGCAGTTTCCTCGGGGGACCTCAGTTTACTTGTCTGCATAATGGAGCCACTACAGATAGTTTCCAAGCTGTGCTAAGTAAGCCCTGAATTTGTACAGCAGTTCATGTAGAGGCTAAATAGAGATTTCTAAATATCTCATGTTTCTAGTTAGAGTTGATGACATTTGTTATGGAAATAATAGCTGAGTATTCTGAGGGTAGTGAGTCCACTCAGGACATGCTGCGAAGTGCTATCAAGTGTTGGAAGACAGTGTGAGGACAAGGCAGTGTCTATTGTTTGTAAAGACTGGAGTGCAAGCATGGGCTCATGGATAGGCAGACTCCAGGGCAGGTAAGAGAAGACTTTCCTAAGCACGAAAGAGGTTGCCTTTCAGAGTAATGAGCCTTCCATTTTCGGAAGCATCCAAGACGAAGCTTTGTTCAGGACGAAGCACTAAGTCTCCTACAGCAAGCTGGGCCAGGCTTCTTCCATCTGTGATCCCATTTCTTGAAAATATTAGACCTGATTGCCCTGTGTTCATCACTCCAGCTGGCCTTCTCCCCAATTCCTCTGGATCTCAGAGGTTTCACCACATCCATAACTGGGAAACCTCCCGGGGAAACCAGGGTCTCAACCGTGCTAGGCCACGGGGAGCATCCAGAAATAGAGCAATAAGGTTAAGCAGTTTTCCACATTGTTAGACCTTTTCATCAGCTGCTCTTCCCATGCCTCTTGCAAATGACCTACTAACTCCCACGGAGAGAGTAATGGGAGCTGCAAAGGTCTCTCTGCAAAGGCTATTACATCCTTCTCTACCCTCAGAATCACCACACTTCCTGTGGTCTGTCAGTCACCCTCACAGAGCAGGAAGGAAGGGAGGCAGTTCCCTGGCCAGCACAAAATACTCCAAAAGGTCTAGACCCCAACCCAGAGACCTAAGGTCTGTGGTAGCCCAACCACTACTGGTCAGGGTGGGGAACCTCTGCCAGGCCACTTCCTCTCTCTACACATTTTATCTTGTCTTCAGAGAGGTACTCTGACTTCCATGAGCTCCTAGTTTTCCTTCATCCTCCAGCATCTGTAGGAGTCCAGGATGTCTTCCATGTTGCACATCTGGTTGTTTTGCCTTTCATTTTAAAGCACATTTCCCCCTCATTAAATGGGTAGTAAATGCCTAATATGGAATACTTTAAAACATACAACAGCACCAAGAAAGCAAAATCAAGCATTATGCTATCGTCCAGAGATGGCCATTGTTGGGTTTTATGCACATGCTTTCCATCTTAGTTTGAAGTATGCTTACACAAGTGCACATACATGTTTTTGGGGTTTTTTTTTTTGGTTTTTTGAGACAAGGTTTCTCTGTATTGTTTTGGAGACTGTCCTGGGACCAGGCTGCCCTCAAACTCACAGAGATCCACCCACCTCTGCCTCCCAAGTACTGGAATGAAAGGCGTGCGCCACCAACACCCAGCCACATACATGTATTTTTTATGTTTTTGGTTTTTACGAGACAGGGTTTCTCTGTATTGTTTTTGAGGCTGTCGGTCCAGCCCAGCCTCGAACTCACAGTGATCTGCCTGTCTCTGCCTCCCAAGTGCTGGGATTAAAGGCGTGCGCCACCACCGCCCGGCCTCACATACATGTATTTTAAACTATTATGCAATTAGATTATTCACAGCGCTTTGCATTCACTGCTAATACTTTCACAAATGCTCTCCCAAGTGTTTCTGTATGTGGCATGAACCAGATCCCAGCGTTTTTGATGAGCTGTTGGCTTGGTGGCAGAGTCCTCCCAACCTGTCACATGCTGGAGTACAAAAGAACTGCCATTCTTTAAAACTTGGACTCAGAATGCCTGACCTGAATCCCCAAGAGTCTACACTTCAGAAAGCTCCTTGGGGTTTAGCAAAATGAGCATCTGTGAACACTCTTTAAATAGCATTCAGGTCTGCTATTTTCAAAGACAGACACACATAGAATTTTTGAAAAATCAGACTACATTTTGAAGAATGTGTTTCTCAGAGACATAACCCTTGTGAATAAAACAGAATGCCCCCTGCTCCCATCCTTGCAAAAGGATGAGGCAGCTGTTTCTGTACTACATCTTGGTGAAGGCAGGATCTTGGCCTGCTTTTAGCACACAGAAAACTAACCCACTGAACTCTTGGGACTGAGTTTTCTTTCTGCATTTTTCCGTGCCCCTAGCCCTGCCCATTGACATTTGTTCAGATTAGTCTGTTCAAGTCATGCAGTAACCGACAGCTACTGGAAAGCATGTCAGTAGGGCTCCTATTCCACAGCACCTCTCGGGAGCTGGGCTGGGTGGTGGGCAATAGCTACGCACCCCCCTCGGGGCCAAACACTGCCCCAACAGCTGCCATGCTTTCATCTGGTAACCAGAAGCGGCTTTAAAACCTAATACCATTGTGTTTGTTGTCACATTATGAATAAGGAAAGTGACTTGAAGAGGCTAAGTTGCCCAAGGTCACGTGACCGGCCAGAGTGAAACCAGAGCCCCCTAGGACATGCCTGCTTCTACTCCCTGGGGAGAAGCAGGCAAGATAGAGGACACACCCACACATCCACACCCACACCCCCCCCACACACACACACACACTACAAGGGGATTATGTAAAGGATCTAAAGGAAGGAGGGACATAACTGTCTTTCTCCAGGAACATGTCTCTGAAGGGTTGGATTCATTTGTGATCCTGGGAACAGCAGAGAGAACCCAAACCATCTAGGTAGGTTGTCACTAAGTGTCAACTCCATGAACCCTCAGCATCAACCACTTTTGTATAGTCCAAGTGTCACTGGAGTGAGTTAAGTCTCCATTTTCCCTGAGACCTTGACACCTCAACACCATATGCTTTCCCTATTTCTCTGCCTTGGTCAGCATGAGCAGCAGAAGCCCAGGATGGACCCCGATTTACTCCATCTCACTTGGAGCTCACTATCTGTGCAACCCAGGCGTATAGTGACTGGGATGGCCCAGCAAGGTAGTGCAGCGGCCAAGAGAGGAAAGCCTTTCCTGGCTTGCTCTATTCATTTTTCAGACACTCTGAGGGGAAGCTGGACTTTCTAAATGTGTTCATATCCAGGAAGAGAAAACAACTCTTAAAATCACAACAGCAACACCCATGACACAGCAGAACCGGGATCCTAGAGTTCCCCTCCTGCTTCTCAGCTCCACCACACTGGGTTTGAAAACTATGGCCTGTGCGGAAAAGCCACAGTGCCTTTGTCTGGGGATTTTCTTTGTCATCTGGCTCTTTTGCTGGTCTACTAGCTAGCCGTTCTCATTATAAAAAAGCCCCTTTAGTGTTGCTGTACTGTAGAGCGTTCTAACCATCTGTTGTTGAGCTTTGGGATTCGTTGGTTTTTTTGTTTTGTTTTTTCTGTTTCTTTCTTTCTTTTTTTCTTTTTTCTTTTTTTGACTGGTTGTGGTTTTTTTTTTCTAGAAACTCACAGTTCTTCTGATATGTATTATAATCTGTCAACTCTGCTCACAGACTTTTTGTTTCGGTTTCTTGTTTCACTGCCTACAAAGTCCCCTGGCAAATCCCTCCTCATCTAGTGTCATTAGCCTGACATAGGTGAAGGTCTCCCTCCAGGGGGTGAATTTGTCCTTCTTGGCAATATCTCTTTCTACAGGTTTGTGAGAGGGGGGTCTTAGTGTTACTTTAAGTTTCTTGAAACCATTTTATTTTATCAAAGTGGGCCCCAAACATACAAAACATACAAAAAAATGATTGGGGGGCCCTCCTGAGAAAACACATATCCCCAAGGCCCACCTCTGAGACTCTTAGCTAGTACTAATGCAGTTGAAGGCCAGAAAACTGCATTTGTCCTAGATTTCCAGAGAATTTTAGAACAGATGCTCCCAGAACCACAGACAGGCGCCTGGACATCATATAGCTGCCGTCTTCCCTTCCTGCTCCCGATCATGAAGTGCAGGCATGGCTGTAGAGTCCTGCTTCCTATCGTGTGTTCACACACATGACCTTACTCTGTCCCATAAACAGAATCAGGATTTTCTTCTGTTCTCTAATAAAACAATTTAAGTGGAAACCATTTAACAGTGATAAAACATGACATGAAAGAGGAAGAGGATAATAAAATGTCTCCAGAATCGAGACATTTAATACAATTGTGATTAGTTACAACATGACATTAAACACCACCAACTGTTGCCAGCTCCCCAACCCTCTGCATGGGAGTGGCGAGGTAGCCCCTCAGTTTGGTTCCTTGCCCACAGCTCCTTCCTTCACAGTGGTCTACCTTGGGCTAAGTCAAAGCACATTACGGTCTATATGAATCAGTTCTCTTGATGTACATAAATGCTCCTACTTAGAAGTCTGAAAGGAGACGCACCCAGATTCAGAGAATAGCGTGACTCACACGTATGATGTGCCCATGGTTGCACACACCCAAATAAGCACACAGACTCTTGCATTGAAGTTGCTGTATTTTTAAACATGGCTTGTCTCTTCTAAGAGTCATATGCTAATTTGATTTCCTTTTTGGTGGTGTTGTGAGGTGGAGCCTTTCAGGGTGGTTACATTATTAAGGAGGAATAATGCCAGTCTCCAGGGAATGGATCATTTTTCACAAGAACATGCTGCTGTAAAGTAATGCTTCCCCTTCTGTTTTGTCTCTACTGTTCATACCTGTTTGCCTATCGAGCTTGAAGACAACAGATGCAGCTGACCAATCTTGGACTTCCTAGCCTCCAGAAACATAAGCTAAAATAAACCTTTCTTCTTTATAAAGTGTCTCGTGTGTTCCGTTATAGCATCAGAAAATGAAATAAGGCAGACGTCTACAGGCATATGAGCAAAGATGTTCATGTATGTATATTTGCACTGGTGTGTATATATGTTCATTCTTTTCCGTGTGTTTCCATTTTAATATGTAGAACAAGAACAGTCTTAAACACTCTCCTCTGCACATACACACCACACAGATTCCTAGACATACGTCTGTATCCTTCAAGTAGGTAAAACATGCCACATCACGTAATCATAGTCATACTACTAGCTAAGTGTACACAGGTCCAGGTGCCAGCCCCCCTCCCCATACAAGTGTATACACCCTTTATCCATTACATGTTTACTGAAGTCTTATTATGTGCCTGGAAGATCTTAGGTACTGAAAATTGGTGAATTAACAACACCAACAAAAGTTTACTTTTTTCCTGTTGGTACATTATGGGAAAGATAATTCTTTAAAAAGCATACCCACTTCCCAGTGCATCTCTCTCTCTCTCTCTCTCTCTCTCTCTCTCTCTCTCTCTCTCACTCTCACTCTCTCTCTCTCTCACTCACACACACACAGACTAAATAGACTGTGGGACTATATAAAGTTGCAATTATAATAGGTACTATGAAAGTAATATGGAATGTTTAGAGAATTCAACTAATTCAGAATAGTCTGTAAAGTTACCCTCAAAGAAATGAAGATTCAGCAGACATCCAAAGGATAAGTAGATAACTCCTAGAAGAGGGCAGAGAGGGAAGAATGCCACCTGAAGAGAAGGGCATGTGCAGTGTCTTGTGTTAAGAGGAAGTCTCTTTTATCAGAGAAACCAAGTACATGTAAGTAAGGGCACCTGACACACGAGGAAGTAGCTGTGGTGTCCCCGCAACTGCAGGCAAGGGAGCAGCCACACCGTGAAGAGTCTCGGGTAGCATTAGGATCTCGGTCTTTATCCCAAGAGCATGTCTACACCAATGATGCATTTACCACAGCGGTCAGGTCTATATTTTGAGAGCTATCGCTAAAGATATATTTAAAGGGATTTCCACGCACATCACTGCACACAGAAGATTTACATAGCCGAGTGCTTTCTTTAAAATGCATATTTACATACATATTTATTACACTGTCTCTCACATATCTTACAAACATGTGTCACATATAAGACCGGAGAAAGAGAGAGCACTAGAGGGCACTGAGGGGCGAGGAGCACTCTCTTTACCAGGCCTAAACCAGTCCTTGGGGGCAAACCCTGAAAAAGTCATGGATTTGAAAGGAGCGCTCTGCCTCTGCTGCTTCCTCTGAGTTTGGCTGACTGGCATCATGCATGTGCCTCCAGCACTGTTCCTCCTCCTCCTCTTGGCTCAGAGCGTCCAGTGACAAGGTGGGGTTTCTTCCAGAACATGATCATTGACTATTCTTGGCCTGGGCAAGGAGAGGAGGATGGGCAGGTCAGGTTGCATAAAGATTGCCTTGTGCCTTCTCAGGGCTGTGAGCAGGGCCTCTGGCAGCCATGAGCTGGTGAGCTGGTGTACTCTTAGCACACAGTGGGCAACCCTAAGCTGTAAACACAAGGCACAATGGAGGAATCAGGGGACTTGAGGACCTGCTGGCACAGCAGTAGGAACAGCCATGAAGCTCTGTGACATGTGACATCAATGATGGCTGTGTCCTTTTCTCCAATGGGGGTAGCATCTCACAGTGGAGGAAGGAGTAGGGAATTTATCAGCCATAGCACGTGCATTGGAACGATGCGTGTGTACATTTGGGCTCCTTTTTAACAGCAAAGCCAGGGAGAGCCTTGGACAGAGCTAATGACAGACTCCAGGGAGATCATTGAGACATTAGGTAGGAATTAAACTTACCTAGAGCTCCTGTCTTCATAGAGCTGTCTCTGAGGGATTTGTTGATATCCCAAGGATACCCATTCATATTTTGTTTTCCAAAATTATCTTAGAAAATGTTTTCTTCCATAATTAAGAGGAATTCCAGAATATTTTCCTTTTGCTTCAGGCGGTGTAGGAAACATGTTTCTTTCTCCTCAGTTGGGCACTGTTCTTTATAATCCTGGTGGCAACCTCCCAGCCTCATCAAAGCTGCTGAAGACAGCAGGGTTCAAGTGGACACTGGGTAGCGTTGATTCTCCAGGCCAACCCATTACTCCACAATTTACAAAGGATATTCTAGTGGCCATTGTGTCTAACCCTCACCACAACCCTAAGGTAGTACAGGAACTCCATCTTACAGACAGGAAGACTGAGGTTAAAAGACTAGCCTGAGCACAGGGCAGAGCTGATTTTCAATTCCAATCTTCATTCTAATCTTTCAAAAACACCAGTTCCATGGTGTTCCCAGTCTTTGTCACTCTCCTGAGACCCAGGACTCCTCCCCCGGGGTCCTCTGCTTTCTTAGTCAGGATTAACAGTGCCCCCAGCCTTGAAGCCACAGGTGCCAAGCTAAAGATAAGCAGGCGGCTGCCCCAGGGACTGTCCTCAGAATGCTGTTGCTGATGATAAGTCATGAGCTTGGTCAGCTCTAGCAAACATGGCTAAGAGCAAAGCCCCCAAAACCCTCCGTGTTCTGTTTGTTTACTTGCTCCCCACTGTGAAGTGACAGAACCCCAGGTCCCACCCCCCCCATGCCTGTCCAGAGGGGACCTCAGATTCCAAGTTCAGGACATCTCTGTAGGAAGACCCAGCTGATTTGCCCCAACCCCACACCCACTGGAGATGATCCAACCCATTTTAAGGGCCAAGTTCCACACCTCAATTAAAAAAGAAAAAAAGAAAAAAAACTGCAGGCTCCGGGAAGTAGTTCAACTTCTTCTTCAAAACAGCTTGTGTGTGGTTGAAATGTTTTATTTTAATCATAGCAATTAGATGTTCTTGTTTTGCACAACATCCTTCAACAGAATCGCCTTCAGCACAGGTGAGTGGCATGTACATTAATAGGTTTGGGAAAGTCTGGGGTGGATGACACATCCCAGAGTGGAGGAAAAGGGCTGGCAATCTCTTCTCCAAGTATTAACCAATATGGTTTACCCAGCTTTCCAAGGGAGACTGTGAGTAATTCATTCATTCATGCTGAACACTTTTCCATGCCCAAGCCGTTGCTATCTCCTGGGGATAGAGCAGAGAGATGCATGGCTTGTCTTGCTTTTGTTAGTTTCAGTCTAAATAGGAAGACAGACAGTGAGAAGAGACTTAGAAATAAAAGTATTTAGGGCTATTTAGCAATAGCACATAGCCACCTAGGGCTCTAAAATTAGAATTCAGCAAGACACACACATACTTAAGAGCGTGGAAGAAGGGTGGGAAATGGTCTTCTGGATTTTGCTGGCAGATTCAAATAGGTATATGGTGTCTGTCAACCTCAGACTGGACTCTAATAATCCATAAAAATTTAATTACCTCTCCCCTAAAAATATCTCACGGAAAAGCAGTGCCTCAGTATTGGTCTGTCCTATTCTGCAGGGGGACAACATGGCCATTTTTTTTTCAAGTAAAGGGATGTCAGATTTGGCAAATTAAAATGGAGACCACCCAGTTAAATCTGAATTCCAGATGTACAGCAGATAATTTGTTTTGTAAATTTGTCCTGAACTTTGCATGATTCATGCATGTTTCCATGCTATTCAAAGGTAACTGACCACCAGGTGGTAATGGTGCACACCTTCAGTTTCAGCACTTAGGAGGTAGAGACAGGTGGATCTCTAAGTTCAAGGCCAGCCTGGTCTACAGAGTGAGTTCCAGGACAGCTGGAACTACATAGAGGGAAAAATCGGAGATGGCAAGAAAAATCTCTGAATAAGTAAATAAGTAGCAGGGTTACACAGCTTTCAGCGTGGGAATATAACAGCAAGTACCTAGATGTGCAGAAGGAGTTTCTAAAGCCATATCTCCTAGTGCTTACGGGAATCAGCCAAGGGTAAACTAGGGGAAAGCAAGGCTCCAAGGTCAAAGGTTTAGGGAACAGTCTGTCCTGTATTTCCTTTTTGGAATCCAAGCTCTGGCCGTGTCATAAAAGCTCTGAGACCCTTACAGGAAGTGTACCTGACTGGCCTGGTTTAACCTGGCTTGCCCACAGATGCTATTTATGGAGCCAGTTTTATCTGTTTGTTTTATAAGGACACCTAGTAACATCATGCAAACCAACTGCTCTCCTCAGCACACTTTGGAGAACACCAGCATTAAAACTGAAACTTGTCTTCATATACCCAGTGGGTTGCTGGGTAAGGAGGAAATGGAACTCAGATGCTATAAACCGAAGGGCAGATACTTGCTCAAGGAATGCAGCCATCTGGGAAGCAGGTGCTTGGTCCAACATGAAGTCTAGACCTTTCTAACAGTTGGAACGGTACAGAGCTAATGAGTAAATTTCTGGGGACTTACTAAATCAGAAATGGAATCTTGCCGGGGACACTAGAGGATACCCTTGCTCTGTGTAGGAAGCTCTCTCTGACGGCTGCGACAATGTAGCTTCATTTATCCCTGTGTTCTGTATCTTTTCTGAAACCTATATCCATCCCTTCTATGCCTCCCATTAACACAGTACCTAACATCTGTAAGCCAAACACTTTTCTTCTCAGGGATGTCAGTCCTCTAACTGGAATGACCCACGCTCTCATCTAAGCCTTTTTATAGTCTAATCACCCTGGAACTCTGGGAGGGGCTTATCAACTTCGGATGTTCATACCTAAAGCTTGTGACCCCACTTGGCAGAGAAGAAAGAGTGCAGAAGAGTCTGTATTGTGAGATTGATCTTGTGGAATTTGATAGAACCCATATTACTGGGTATCCGAGACATGGGGAATAAGGTATTCCAACACGGTTCAAGTCCCACCTCTACCACTCCTGGCCTCTGTGACCTGGAGAAAGCTTCCAAACCTGAGTGAATTTTATTTCCCCTTGTAAAAAAAAAATAAAGTCTAAAGCGACAGTGCCTACATTTCCCTGTTTGGAAAAATGAAGAGTGACAAAAGGGACAAAAAGAACCCCACAGACTTCCTGCAACCGACACTCAGTAAAAGTTGATGTTGTGAGTGACTGTGTTTATTCCTATCCACACAGGAGCAAGCTTCCAGGGAACTTGAGACTTCTTCAGAAAGTCACTAATCCGTGTGCCAAAAGATCAGGCCCCAACGGAAGGGATGAGCTGGAGATCGCCTGCTCTCTAACACCTTCCTTTGAGAACACTCTGGGGCAAAGAAAGTAGGAGAAAACACATTAAAAGACAACAGTCCTTCCTCCTCCAGCGTGGAAAGTATCTGCAGCCTTAACCACAGTCCCTAATCCTCCTTGACGGTGAAGCAAAAAGTTGCTGGAAGTTTCCTTGAGCTGTGCCTTTGGAGGCGCAAATGCAATTCTTCCAAGAATGCTACCCATGCACACCACTTAGCAAAGGAAAGCATCACAAACTGAACACTTCACGTGTGTGCCAGCGTGTGCAAAGGTGCCCTGAAATCACTTTGACTGACATCTGTTCTTTGGCCGTGTTCCTATAGTAAAGACGTAAATCCCAGAACTGTCTGGAAGGAAATATGCTGGGTCCACTGGCAACAGCTTATTTTCTGTCTGCTGGGTGTGACTCTCACCCTACCCCCATCTTCATCCTCCCCATCCCTCACTTGAGGATCTCTGAGCTCTGTGTCTCTTGGGAAAGTGTCTCTGATCTATTTTTGCCTGGGTTTGTGCACTCTCCACACGGATTATCATCTGGCTGACTCCAGTTTTGATTAGTTCTTTTGTCTGATCGGTTCTGTTTCCTAACATGAGTTCCTGCGGCCCACTGCAGTCCTTCTTGGATTACAGGAGCATTGGTTAAGGTATCAGAGCATTTGTCACAGTTTCTGCAGGGAATGCTTGTCCCCTCATCCCCAGCCTACCCTACTCATGGTGCTCCTTGTCACTTTGGCACAAGCAGACGCCTTCTCCCTCACTACATGACTCTGTAAGTGGAGTCTGGTTTTCACATTAGCCAAGAGGAGGCTCTGAAGTCAGAAATCCTTGGCCTATGAGTCACGTTGTTTCTTTGTGCCTCATTTCCCCCAACTATAAATAGGCCACGTCCCACACTTTCTCATCTCCCAGTATCCAAGGGACTAGTACAGGTGCTTGTGTGCAAACTGGGAGCTCCTTCCAGGAGCCGCTTCCGTTTTGTCCCAGGTGGGCTCTCTCTCTCTAGGATCATGACATTCAGGGGTCTCTAAAAGTTCGTGTTTCTCTGTCTCCCTACTTTCTCTCTTGGCAGCTGCCTCTTTCGCTGTTTGCGTGTGAAGTTTCTGAAATGCCAAGGCCAGGCTTTGCAGAAAGAGCTCTCTCTGTCTCCCTGTTGTCTTCAGAGTGAAGTCCTCAGCAGGTAAGTTCATACTGAGAACAAATCACATATTCACACATATACACACATGCACACACACACAGAGAGAGAGAGAGAGAGAGAGAGAGAGAGAGAGAGAGAGAGAGAGAGAGAGAGAGAGAGAGAGAGAGAGATGATCTGGGAGAAAAAGGCACTATTCCTAATGCCAACAGAAACTGTATTCAAAAGGAGTGTTCAGAAGCGTGATGTTTTCTTCTTTGCTTCTTCATATGACCTAGCACTGTTAGGTTTCCCCCAGCATGCATTTGCTGGCCCAGTCACGCAGCAAACAGTTCTTAGCATATCAAGGATGAGTCAGCTATGCCCTAGACACTGGAGGTGAAATCGAGTGACCCAGTGAGTGGCACACATGTGAAGATGCCCAGTGACTGAGGCTAGACAGGCCATGTCTCCACCTTCCATGTATGGTGTCTTTGAGCAGGGAGAAGAGAAGTTCCACCCAAGGGAACAGCAAGGCTTCCTAGAGTCCTGGTCTTCAGGGGGCAAAGAGAAGCCCAACATACCTGGGACCTTGGTGCAGGGAGTAGTAGCCTAGACTGTGGGCACTAACTGTGCCAGGCCTCTAAGACTGGGGCTTCTGTGTCTCTGTGGTGGGGAAGCATCCACATTAGGAATGACAAAGCCTGGGGTACATTTCTGTGCTGGGGGTAGAGTGGAAATGAGGAACCTATTAGTAAAATCATTTTCCCCCAAAGTTTGCCAGTTCAGTGACATGAGTCTCTGTATCTGTAAAATGGGCAGATGTTAAAAATTAATGTGTGTGTACATATATATAAAATGCATGTGTGTGTAATATATACTATAAGTGATATGCAGTATATATTCAATAAAATTGAAGGTATGGTTTGTATGCTGCTTTTCCTACTTACCGTTGTGTTGTACTTGCACATGTTATAAAACAGGCTTTTAAACTGATTTGTCTTCCCCCAGCTCCCCAGTTGGCCCATTTTCTTTGTACACCATTCACACTTGCAGTACTTGCTCCTAACCAGGAGCAGTCGAGTAAGAGGTATTCAGCTGCATTCCAGGAAGTGTCAACAGAACCCGTCTTTAACTTGCTATGCCTTCTGTGGCTTCTTTCAGTCCAGCTGACTTCGATGATGACCTCATCATTAAGTCAAAGGTCTGTGGTTAGTAGTTAGTGGTTGTGCTTCTAAAACTTCTCGTTTGGAACACAAACTGATGCCAGTGTTCGTGAACGGCTGGAGCTAATCAAGGGAGAACAGAGGCAGGACCTGGTCGCCTTTACACAAAACTTTCCCTATTGAAACCAACTAATACCCGAGGACAGAAGATTAAGGAATTTCCAAATACAGACCTAGAGCTTGCAGAGCTGAAAGGAACACAAAGACAGCAAACACATTCTCTCCCTTTATAAAGAAACTGAGACCTGAGTACTGTCTTGGCCCAGACACCCCATAGCAAACCCTGATGAAGACTGCACTGAGGGCTGACGCCACTCTTCACAGGCCAGGTGGAGTCATTTCCATGCAGAGAAGCTGATATCCTGCTGCAGAGTGAGTTTTGAACTGCAAGTACTAGCCAGAGTTCTTCAGAGGAGCAGAATCGATTATACAACATGCATATACACATGTACATATGTGTGAATGATTGCGCATATATGGGCCCCTGTGTCTGAAGAGTTTCCATGATTTTAGGAAAGGTACAAGTACACAAAAATAAAGATTTTCGTTTGGGAAGTCCTGTAGAAATTGTGCGCCTTGCCCATTGCTTGTGATTCTGTCTGCATGCTGGAGAAGTGAAGTGCTCACTGGCTGCTTAGTCCTGAAACTGTGTGTCTCGGAACAAGTACTCGATGATGCACCTCTCATGCAAGGCTATCAGCCTAGAAACTCCCTGGAGAGTTGCTACGGTGACTCATAGTCAAAGGCTCACGAGGTTGGGGTCTGATTTGGACGATGGCAGCTGCAAAGGACACACTTGCTCAGAAAGACGAGCTTGCAAGTGCAGGGTAGCCTCCTCCATTTTCCATTTTTATTCTTCATGGCGGTCGGCCTACTAGTTAACATAACCCATGCTCAAGATGAGTCTTTCTCCCTCAGTTGGTGCCCCACAAGTCAACAATCTCAGAAAATGGCCTACCAACACACCAGGAGGTGTGTTTTACTAATCTTTTTTTTATCCCTCCATCCAGTCAATTAGCAAAGATTAACTGCCACGGTGTCCAAATTAAAAGACAGAGATTTGAACTGTAATGTTTTCGAGAAACTCACGAAGGACACATTGTAAGTGATTGTCCAGTTATCAAGCTCACCTAGAGATAGCCGAGGTTGTAGACTCTCAGCTTTCTAACTTCATCAGTAAAGATTTTCCAGTGAACCTCTAATACGTGACGATTTACTGTGGCCAGTGCCTTCCCAAGACAGCTAGACTATTCTAGGGCAGAAACAAATGCAAGACAATACCAGCAGCTGTTCTACATTCTCATTACATCCTAATGAATTATCTTCTGTGCCTCTTCTGGAAACCACTCTGCAAGATCATTGTTTTTCACCCAAAAGGAAGGCTCACGGCTCACCAGTGGAGCATGAAGTCCATTCATCAAGCTGCATTTACCAAGTCTTAAACAAATTAGAAAACAAAAAGCAGATTGCATAGGCTGGGTGACTTTTACCTAGTGAAGCATGTTTTCAAGTATTGTGAGAATACGTGGTTTGTCTGGGGAGATGGTGTCCTAGGTGTTCTACAAAGTGTGACTCCATCGGAGTCATCAGCCTATTACTTCCATGATCCTTAAACTCATAACTCAACATTATGGTTGCGCACAAATGATTATGGCTTGCTGATCTAAAGTGGGAAAATGATGTAGGGATGGAGAGATGGCTCCACGGACCCAGTTCCCAACACCCACCAGGCAGCTCACAGCCACGTGGAACTCGAGTTCCAAGGGATCCGGCACTCTCTTTCGGTCTCCACAGGAACTGTATGCACATGACACAGTTACATACCTTCAGACGCTAACACAGACACAGAAAACTAATAAAATAAAATGCAATCATAATCTGACCAATTTTCAATGGCTTACAGAGAGTTTCACACCTCCACTGAGGACTCTGCCTCACCACCCTACTCAGTCTTCTGCCCATTTCTGACTGATGTCTCCATAACGTGACCCTGACCTTTGCTTCCATTTTGGAGTAATGTGTATTTCCCGGCCTCCATGCCTTCTCCACATTTTCAAAATCAGGCCCTGCTTCCGTAGTCCCACTGAGCTAATGCCTTCTCTGTGAGCACTCAGGATCCCCCACCCTTTGAGATTAATGCCACACCTGAAGAAAATAACGGTTCTTGTAATCTATAGCTAACAGAGCATGCTTTGACATAGGACTGTAAGGAGAGAGAGGCCTGCATACCACCCATTGACTTCCCCCAAATCCTCTTGAAGGGATTTGTTCCTTCATATCCAATAACACAGGAAACACAAAAAATATACCGTATTCATGGTGGGATTCACATATAGCTCTGGGACAGCATATTAGTGAGTGTATAAAGACTTGCAGAAGGGCCAGGCGTTGGTAGCACACGCCTTTAATCCCAGCACTCGGGAGGCTGAAGCAGGAGGATCTCTGTGAGTTCGAGGCCAGCCTGGTCTACAGAGTGAGTTCCAGGACAGCCTCCAAAACAATACAGAAAAATCCTATCTCGAAAAAAAAAACTTGCAAAAACTACCTGGAAAACAATTGAAAATTCTGTTTCTCCAAGTCCCACGTTGTACCCATGCTGACACTAACAAAAGTACACATACGGGGTTCTATATAAAAGGTGTGTCGATCATCATTCTATTTAGTCCACACAGGGTCCACGTGCTTTTCATATTATTGTTCCCTGTGTGCATGTAATCAAACTGGGCCAGGGAGGGTTTGCAGAGTTTGCTTGTTTGTATATCTTGGTGGAGCCAAGGTTTAGACAGCTGAATTCATCACTACCATGAATGGCCACGGGGCCTGGGCTACCTTCATTGCTAAGGCACATGGGATAGGTGGGAAACCACAAGCTGGGTCCCACCTGCCACTCGAGTTCATTAGTTCTCTCTTTCTTTCCTTTCTTTGTTTGCTGTTCTTGCTTGCCAACCTTCTTTCTGTCTCCTCCATCCTCTTCTTTTTCTCTGTCCTTTCCCCCTCCTTCCAGAATTGCTAGATTTCAGGAAAGACTTCAAAAAGCCACAAGGGACCTAAGAGATAAAGTACCTCCACCGTTTTGTTTTTGAAGATGAGGAAACGGAGGTCCAGGGAGGGGAAGGGCGTGGACCCAGGTCACAGCCCGCTTGTGGCAGGGCTGAAGTGAGAACCCACTTCCTCTCCTCTTAATCTATCAACTGTTCTACTGCCTCAGCTCCCGTATGCCCTATACAGTCTACCCTTGGCAACCTGGCCCTCTGTTCTTTCCTTAACTTAAGGAAGCCATGCATCCCCATATAGACAACAGAGACACAACCGGCTTCTGCAATGATAAGTCTTGATTGCGGACTTGAACTGAGCGATCCCTGGGAGACTGGCAAAACACACCTCTGAGTGTCTGTGAGGATCTCTGTATTTCAGAGATGATTGGCTCACAAGTGTTCTGCCCTAAGCCATGTTTTAATCCATAAGTGAGTTCAACATTCACTAGACTCTCGGGAAGTTGTGAGATAGTGGGAGGTGGGACCTCCTCGGGGGAAATGGGTTGATGTGGGGAAGGAGGCGTGTAAAGGAGATAGCTTTCCCTGCCCTCTTCCCGCCGCTCTGCTTCCTGGCTAATGCACTGTGGGCTGCTTTCCTTCTTGCTCTTTCTCCATGGAGTGTTTGCTTTGCCGTGGGCCCAAAACCATAAAGTAAGTCATCCAATCACGGATGGAAGCCTCTGAAACCATGAAGTAGAATAAACCTTTTCCCCCTGTGTGTCAGATATTGTGTCACAGCAATAAAGCAGTCTAGGGCTCCTCTGGTAAAGAGTCAACAGCCTTGTAGAGTACTGAGTGTGAGCCCTGACTGCCACAGTGTCAGAGGCAGATACATCTGAACGACCCCTTCTCGTCCGCTCCCACCTGACTCCACTCTGAGCACATGACCCCTTCTTTGTCATCACAAACCATCCTGGCTTTTCTCATCTTCTGATTATCAGTCTCTCCCATCAGACTCAAAGTTTCCTGAAAGCAGAGGCTGTTTTTTATCTTGCCTTCCTTTATCGGTCTTGTATATCCTATTATACAAATCAGGACATTGTAGATGTTCCCTAAGTGTTTGCCGGATGAATAAACAAAAGTCTAGTTCCAACATTAGCTTAATGGGTTACCATAACAAAATATGTCAGAATAGGTAGCTTAAACAATAGACGTTTCTATTTTCTAACCACCCTGGAGGCTGGGAGGAGGCAGGGGCGGGTGGGCTAAGATGAGGGTATCTGCAGGGCTGGCAACCCTGAGCTTCTGTACACAACCACCCTGGTGTTGCTGCTGTGCTGGTATTTTTGTCTGTGTATACCCCAACTCGGTATCTCTTCTTATCCTGGAAATAGCCTTTGTGGATTGAGACCACTTTCACAGGCTCTGTCTAGCTTCATCTCCTCTTTCAAAACCTTATTTCTACATACAGTCATGAGGTGCTAAGGCCTAAGGTTGCAAAATAGGAGTTTTGCAGGAACACAATTCAGTCCATAACAGTTCCCCATTCTCCACTAGCTCACAGCTAACACAGATAAACACACAAAATATGATAAGACAACATAGTAATTGCTCTGATAAGAAAGTGCAAAGCTCTGGAGAACATAGATGATGGAAAGTAATAATAACCCCCACCTCAAAGAGACTCTCTATGTGCCTCCTACTGTTTTAAGCACAGAATGCATTACATAATTTAATCCCTGCCAGGATTAAATGTCAGCACACCAGTGCCTGCAGTATCAATCTCTATGCTAGAAGCTAGATGATCAAGACTACAGAGGTTTAAATAATAGTAGGAAGACTCAAACTATTTAATAGTAAAGTGTACACACTTATCTTCATGCATGTGCACACAGACACACACGCATGCACGCATGCATGCACCATGGTGGCATGCTGTCTACATTCCTTCTTGCTAGTGATTTCCATGATAGTTATTCCACAGCCAGCCAGTTCCGTCTGTGCCTAACTGAGATGGAAGAAATCATTCTCTGTATGTCAACCTAGAAGCTTTACAATAAGCGCTATTACCCTCTATAACTGAATAAACTAAGCAGAAGCTTAGTCCCAGGTAAAGGCCCCACCACCACCAGGGAGTTGCATGGGTCCTCACACAACTAGAAAACCACTGACTCAGGACTTATACCCATCATTCTGGCTTCCAAGTCTTCTCTTTTAGCCAGCCTTCCAGAAGGCCTCCTGATGACAAGGGATCCTGTCATCTAAGGAAACCCAAGTCCACTGCACTGCAGAGAGGAGACAGATGGAGTGAAGCCACAAACAAGAAAAACAAAGCTGAGAAGAGAAATTGAGTGAAAACGATTGAAAATGCCAAGTGTGTTGTTCAGCTTTCTATAGCGGGGACAAAACACCCAAGAAAGCTCAGACGGGAAAGACTTACTATGGCTTGTAGTGTCAGAGGCTTCAAGCCACAGCTGACTGACTCCTCACCAATCAGCATTGCTGAGCTGAAGACCAAGTTTTCACCATATAATGTTTCAGAGCATGTATCGGATCCATAGTATAACACCGAGGCTCACAAGCAGCTTGCCAGCAGATGGAATACAAGGGCAGCAAGTGAAGTGAGAGAGAGAGGCTGAAGGTCGGTCTGGGAGGAAAACCGAGCATAGCATAGGTGAGGTCTCATCTGATATGACAATAAAAGGGAACTTGCTTCTCCAGATGCTGAGAGATCATTTTATCTTACCTTCTCTTTTTGTTAGTAAAGAAACACACACTAGGCTAACAGCAGATGGAGACCCACAGTGAGGCCTCCTGAACCCAGGTCACTGCACAATTCTTTTGTCCACTGGATAAGCATGGAAACTGAAGTCATTTTAAAGAGTGGGTCTTTTTATGTTTCCTGTGTCTTCCATACAATGTTCATCCACTTGTTTTTTGCAGACGATTATAACTTTGTCCGTTTTCACTAATTAATATATCTTCCTGTGCAAAATGACTACAATGAGCTCAAAGCTAATTCAACACCATGGAAGTCTTGACTGATACAGTCTCCCTGTGTGGCTTGGGAGTGGGTGGCAGAATGGCTTTAGACTAGAAGTACCTGCATTTCCAATGTCTAATCGATATTTATGTTTGGTTCTAACCCAACACCTGTGGACTTGGGGGTATGAGAAAAGGAGTGTTGTAATGTCCAGGAATCACTGGGAACTTCATTATGCCAGCTAGGTACCTAAGTAAAGGAATCATCCACTAATATCTCAGTCTGTCACTAAAAACATGTCAGACTCCGGATCTGCTTGGAGTTTCTAATCAAAATGAGAAGTAAGTAAAACTCTGGGAATTTCTTGTGTTCATTGTTCTAGTCTTCACATTGCATATAAGACTAGACAGGGGAAGGAACTTCTATGATGTCACCTGCCATGTTCTTAACAGAGGGAGACAAAACCACAGAAGACCCGCACTCCCTACTTTACCCATCCCCTTTACCTTGAACTTAGAGGTTTCAAATTGGTCTTATTCATAATTGTGCTTCCAACACATCCTTCCTTTCTTATGATGCCTCTGCCTCCTTTTTTTCCTTCTGGACTTTTCATCTCTCATTTCTAATGACATTTAACAACTCTGTTTCATGAGCTTTCCCCTCCCTCTGCTCCGCTAATGGATAGTGAAAGCCCACATTAAGCCAAGGCTATTTTAACTTGAGAGAATACAATATTTCCTTGAGTAACTCAGCTCACCTTTGAAAACAGATGTGAGGAGCAGCACAGACTCTGGACACAAGATTTTCTGTTAATCCCGGGCTTTTGATGAGAATCAAGTCTTAAGTCTCAGTCTTCCTTTAAGGTGCAGATCACAGCCAGAGCTCTGAACTAAGTAAGCATCAGGGCATGTCAGTCTGG